CCCACTTTGTTCACACATGATAGTGAAACCGGAGTTTTGGGCGTAGGGCGAATTGTGAATTGCAGGAGGGGGGTTAAATTCAGCGCGCATTCAGGGGACCTAATTAAATTGTTGGACACAGTTGATAGGCTCAGCATGAGATATGGATTGGCATAAAAGTCACCTACGTGGGCCGATTCGGTAATATCCGCTCGGCTAGAGTAGTAGCATTCTTTACGACTGTCATTTTGTACAAGTGTGAATTTTTCGGCCCTGACAACGTTGTGCAATATTCTTTACAACCGGGTTTGAACTATTTGATAAATTTATGATTCCCTTGTCGATAGAATTTTATCTTTTAACCTTCAAATCACTAAAACTTTAACAGTATATATATATATATATATATATATATATATATATATTATAGTAATAATAATACTCGGTTGAAAAAAACCTCGAATAGCACAATTTGTAAGTCTATCAAAACAAAATGGTACCCGAGGGAAAAAAAGAAAGAACTAGAAACATCCAAACAGGAAGTCCACTGCCTTGAGTTTTTAGTCCAAAGAAACAAAAAATCGAGTAATAAAGCTAAAACTTACCCTGAAGGTCCGTTTAGGTGAAACCTAGATAGGTTGTTCCTGGCTCTTTAGGATTTATTTCATTTATATATATATATATACACTTGCTCCATATGTGGCCTCCTTTGTAAATCACTAGCGGGTTTTAAATGCCACTTAAGATTATCGCAAAAAATTTCATAACTGAACCAACTAAGCAGTCAGATACTCATACGTCGAAACCGACGGGAGAGTCCATATTATATATATATATATATATATATATATATATATATATATGTGTGTGTGTGTGTGTATAACTTTTAAAGATTTTTATAAACCAAAGAAATACCGTATATACTCGAGTATTATGCGAGATTTATGAGCATTTTACGCCAAAAAATAGGTGGGCGCACTATACACAGGTAATTATTCAGTTAGTATTGCAGAATAAGAAGCTTCTTTATACTATCTAAAATATTTCTAATGTGTAGTGAATAAAGTGATTTTTGTTCATTTAGTTAGTGTAGGAGATTAGTTTTATTTTTTCATTGCACATTTGCATTTATACAAATAAGTCAATAATTGTTACAGTTGTAAGATGATTCCTAATAAAAAGTATAGTTGCCAATTAACTAATTATTGGATACTAAAAACAAATCCTGTTCAGAAAATGTTTCCCATAATTATGATTTAGTTCTTTACATGTTCGCCCCCAGGTCGTAGAACTTGGTTGTATGATTAGCAGACCTGTTACATGTATCATCTTGATTAAGAGAGAAATTAAAATAAGATTTTAATTTCGGTTAAAAAGATGTCTAATAAAAAAAACTCATACCGCTAATATTTGGTTCAGTTCTAACTCATTGCAATTGTAGAGAAACCACAGACACTGCAGCTATGGCTGCAATCGGCGTCTCTAAAGCAAAATCTGTTATTATGAATTAACTTTTTTACATCTCCTAAACTTGTTACCACCCAAAGCAAAAGAGCCTGGTCTGACCTTCTATTTGACCCACGTATAGATTCATGCATTTTTCAATTGCATTTATGCTTTTAATTTCTTGTGGCCATGAAATGATAAAGGAAAACTGATATAAATAACGGATGATATCCAGATATTAAGTTGGTGCAAAAATAATGACGTAATGATGTCGTTTTTAACGTACTTTTCTACGTCAAAAAACGACATTCTTACGTCATTATTTTTGCACCAACCTAATATTTACATACGTAGTCATTTCTACATTTTTTAAATCGATTCACCCCAAGCAAGGTAATAAAGCTACTGTAACACAGGTGGTTACTGAGGGTAAATGAATAAGAAAAAGAAAAAATAAACGTTAAGGCGAAAGAACTATAAAAGAGTAATCAGAAAGATAGTTGATAACGATTGATATTGCCTTTAAATTTTTGAAAGTCAAAGTTGGATGGGAAGTGCGAGAAAAGAAGCTGTTAGCAAAGAACTTATGGTTACATCTAGCCAATTCAATTGTAAATTGATGAGACTTTGTTTCCGGTCAAATACCGCGCTTAAATTCATAAAGTCTACGTACCATAAAGCAAAGTTCATCAGAACAATTACCATGAAAGTATTTATGAGAAAGACACAGGGAAGCTGCATTACGTTAGTGGGACAGTGGCTGAAGCCGTGATGCCAACTCGGGACCAATAATATTTCATATTCTTCTTTGGATTCTATCAAAAATCTCTAAATATATATATTTTGGAGGGCCTTAAGACATGTTTATTTAGCTATGTACTGCGTTAAAATCAGGAAATGTTAAGCCATTTAAAGCAAACCGTAGTACGCCTTTTTACCAAATACAAATGCTATCTAGAATAGACATGGCAATGGGAATTGTTCAACGTATAAAATAAGCGTGTCGGGTCAAAGTGAGGTTGCAGCTTTTCTGACACGGCATGCTTCTTGGAAATAATCATGACGCTGAGAAAATTAGTTGAAAAATAATAAGCGAGCTGTACTATATAAGCACCATGCCGAGTGTGGCGGTAATTGAAGGAAATAATTTAATAGAACCGCCATTTATGTATGATACGCAGGTTTACTCTGTTCATGATTAAAGGTTTGTTGTTTTTTTTTAATTTTTAGACTTTGCTCATCTTTTATTTTTTTTATTTTTTTTTCTCAAAATGTCAACCACTTTACATTCATACAACAATATTATTGGTCCCGACATGGCGTCTCCACTTCAGTCATTCTCTCATCTCCGTAATATTGTTTCCCTGTGCCTTTCTAGAAAAACTTCTATGGTAATTGTTTGGAGGAACTCTTCGCTATGATACTTAGATTTCATAAATTTAAGCGTAGTATTAGATTGGTAGCAAGGTTTCGTCATTTTACAATTGAAATAGTTATATGTAACCGTAAGTTCTATGTCAATAGTTTCTTCTCGCGTACTTCTCGCTTAAGGAACTCACTACCGACTCAATACTTTCTAGCCAACTTTGATCTTCGAAAATGCAATGCCAATCGTTATATACTGTCATTAATTAATCTTCTATTCTCGCTCCTTAACGTTTCCCTTATTCTTTCACACTCAGTAACCCCTTGTGTCTCAGTGGATTTACTGCCTTGCATGGGGTGATATGATTAAAAAAAAATAACGTCTTCAATTGCATTTTTTTTTTTTTTTTTTTTTACTCGGTGTTTGGAGTGTAGTTGATCAATCGTAAATTACAATTCAGATAATTCGGCAAGGTACATTAGACTTGAATTCGGTCATAAAATGAACATTCTGAAACGTTTTGGGGGAGAAAACCCCGTAAGTAATACGCTCCTTTAGTACTCTGAACATCCGTAACTTTTACGACAAATTAAAAGTCGATTCCATTGAATATAGGCAGAAATCTTTTATGCATCTGCCGAGTTGAAATGAAAAAAAAAGCACTTTTATATCTTGGACATTGTCAGTGTAAATCGTTTTGCAGAACTAATCGAATTACAAAGAGGTGATTAAAAGTTCTCGGTATAACCAAGGAGACATGGTGCTTACTTATTTGGTCAGATTTGGCAAGTGGGCCGAAATAGAAACTTCTTATAATATACGAAATTTTAGAAAAAACTATGAATAGATTTATTTTTTCGTGTAGTACGTTTTGTCTTTTAGGAAACTAAAGTGATATTTACATTGATGTGATTACGCATGCGCATGAAAAAGGAGCAGACTAAAATTTAAATTAATAATTTTTAAATACGTGTTTTGGGTATAAATTCCGATTAAGTCCTAAAGATTGAAATGCGTCACAGGGAAAAGATTTTTCCACTTTGTTATAGATTTTCCTAAAATAGTTCTTGAGATATACAGATTTATATATCGTTTTCCCAATACACGAAATGTATTTATGCTTCTTTTGAATGTAATGTTTGTAAAATTTTGGTGTCACTGATCTATCTCCCTTAGACTAACGACGCGTGGTGATAGTGTCTTTGTGATATCAATGGTAGACTGTTCATATTCAGATTATTAAGAAGTTAGATAAAACTTTAATGAATGTAAAATAGATTCAAAAACTCATGTGGGAAATTAAAAAATAAATAAATAAATACTAAAGTAACGTAACGATACCGTCATATCTGAGAACTTGGATTAACTAGTAACACACACACACACACATATATATATATATATATATATAAATAAATCGTGGACTCGCCAGTAATTTACAATCACCTGATGAGAAATAAATTAAAGAATATTAAATAATTTAAACGTATAGACTTACCTGATAGATTAATATGAAACTGTTGACTAAAGATTCTTTATTTATTGTTTTGAACAACTTATATGCAAAATGTCAAATACATATACAACCGTACAAGATGATACTAACACTACCAGCAGATTAATATATAAACATATATTGTCCCTTACTAATAAAGTTATAGAAATAATACATCACTTTCTAAAAATTTGTCTTGTTTAAAAAGACGATAATAAAACTCCTAAGGTGAAATGGAAAATTTTAAAAATAACAAGCATATATATATATATATATATATATATATATATATATATATATATATATATATTAAAAGGATAACTAAGAGATCCAACGTTTCCGTTTAGGTCGACCTGGTTATGTTAATTGCAATGGATTAAGGTAAAAGTAAGTACGTCTTTGAAATACAGGTGAATGGAATTCTTCGCTGTCTTTTGTGACATTTTCGTGTAAATAAGAACTTCCGTATTCACAATCGGACAATGAATCGAGTTGGCTATTTAGAAAATGCTTTAATTGTTTATGAAATACAAGCATGATTTAGGTGTGTGTGAGAGAGAGAGAGAGAGAGAGAAAGAAACAGAGGCAATCTTGTAAAACTTTTTTTCAAAAATACGCATTCTGAAATCAAAACCAACCTGGGTGTTTGCGAAAACTGTCAGAAACACATTTTCATTTCTAACAAAGGAACGACTCTCAATATCTTTCATTAAGTTGCCTTCAGGGAAATACATCTCATCCCAGGTCAAGTGCTTCTGTTGCCAAACAAACAGATTATGCCTTTAAACACTCCCAACTGGATTCTCTCTCTCTCTCTCTCTCTCTCTCTCTCTCTCTCTCTCTCTCTCTCTCTCTCTCTCGCTGGTGGGCATAATTTTGATTGCGCTTCACACACACACACATATATATATATAATGTGTGTCTGTGTATGTGTCGACATGCACGCGCACACACAGATGCACACGGGTTGCTGAAAAATTCCCGGCCAGATTTTGGAAAGTAAGTTGGATCAAGAACTTTTCGGCACTTGCACCCATATATGCGTGTATATATATATATATATATATATATACTCTTAAGGGGTTCTATATTTATGGGATAAAGTACTCAATATCCGAAATAGAGCGTGTGTAAATATAAAAGTGAACATTGATGACAACACTTAGAGGTGACAGGCTGTTTCATGCTAGACGCAATCGTCAGGCCACGATTGCGTCTAGCATGAAACAGCCTGTCGTTCAGATTATAGCAGGAGAATGATTGATGCCGTCAAGAAAAAGATGAAAAGAACTCCACGAAGAAGCAGAAGGAAGATGGTAAAAGAATTGTGAAAAGATTGTGAAAAAGGGTTCACGGCTAAAAATTATACAGTATTCAACGACGAGAGCCGCCCTCAAGTGCCTCTAACCAAAAACAGCTTGAAAAGGGGAATAAAATGCAGCGTGTCATGGCAAAGTTTCCGTGAATTTTGGGGTTGTAAAGCTTTTTGTAAACTCGAGAAACTATACTGTTTACGCCACTTCAGGAAACATTCGCGACGATGTCAGAATACACTTCAAGTGAGAGAAACCAACTGGTTTCATCAGAAACCAAATGGTTTCATCAGAAACCAACTGTTGCTTCTGACGGTTCGAAATCGCCTTTAGTGTTTATCGAAGGATGATTGAATACAAACAGCAGAATCTACCAGCAAATGTGTGTGTGTGTGTGAGAGAGAGAGAGAGAGATCTAGATATCTAGATATCTAGATATCTAGATAGATAGATATCTAGATAGATAGATAAATATTGCTCCGGTCGTCAGCAACAGCTACATTTGGAAGTCGCTATGTCCTCTCACAAGACCGGGCTCTCGCAAACACAGCCAATTTTGACGCAGAATTTGTAGAAGGGTCTTTTTCTTTTTGAGGGTCAATTCGGCCTCAATCAAGCTCTGGTATTAATCTTGTGAACGTTACAATATGACCCATATCAGAGAGCAATGTTTCATGTATCCCATATTCAAATAGATATTAAAGACGTACTTATGATATAGTGCTACAATTTGTGTGAAGAGGTAGCGAAGTCATCATGCACTTCAGTTTACAATAATGTTTACCCTGTACAAGGCCCAGAAGCCACTCGAGGCAGAGGGTTACAAAGTAAGAGATAAGGGGTAGTGTTTATGAGGATATATGGGGAAGCTAACGGTTAAGCGTAGAATTGAACAAGTGAGTCTAGTGATCGGGGAAGCGTCCTTTTAGGAGTTGGTTCCAAAATTGCCCTAAAGTAATCGTGGGCACCGACACCAGCGTAACAGTGCAGTGGCATTTTTTGTATTTTGCTCGTATGTGTCACACCCTGTCACCTTGGGGAGGAAAGTAAATGCCAGCTACCTTTACCCGGTCATCGCGCTTTAATTAAGGGGTATTATCTGATCTCTTATTTTCTCCTGAGTTTTTGTTTCATTAACGGTTTTTTTTTATGAGTAAAGTACAGTACCCGGAATGGAAAACCGGCAAATACCTCATCGCTCTAAACATGGGGGGGTCTGCTGAAATGGTAAATGTTATGGCTGTACACCCCCTCCAAAATAAAAAAAAAAATAATTCATTAAAAATGACCCTACCAAAGTCAGCTACCAGTTCAAATCGCCAGCCGCAAACGGGCGACGACTCCGCAGCAGACCACGCAGCCGCTGGAAGGATGTCGTTCTCCAGCAGATTAACATGGCTCTGAAGGATATTCCGATACTCTGCAAGACTGTAATACCTGAAGGAACAATGTGGCTCTTGTGCACCCAATGCATTCATGGCATGAGATTTAGCAGCAACAGCAACAGTGTAATTTCATTTATTCGAAGTCTATACACCTTATCAATCGATAATGAAAGAAGTGTGTGTGTGCGTGTGAGAGAGAGGGAGAAAGATAGGAATATATATATATATATATATATATATATATATTCGACTCTCCCGTCAAGCAGATTAGTTCCTAGGAAACCGACAGCCCGACAACAGCACATAAGATTTGATTATAGTGATGATGGTTTTGTGCAGAACCATGCACACTTTATGAAAGGCCAAATACAGAGACTTGGTGCACTACGTGCCACAAGGTTCCCAAACGACCCTCCGCAGGTTTTGAATTCAGAGTTGTCCTTCTCCTAGACTAGTTGCCATCCAAGGCTATAGAACCCAGTCTGCCCTGCTATTTACCCATAGCTGGAGGGAGAAGAAGAGGATTCATACCTAACACGTAAGTGAGTGTAATGGATTCGACTGGAATTCGAACTCTGCTTTCCGAGTCTTCAATCCGAGCCGCTATACACCGTGCCTCTCTCTCTCTCTCATATATATATGTATCCTGTCGTTTTTGACGTATGAAGTTACAGCAACCCCTTTCTTAGAACCAAAAATATTAAGGGATATGGTGAAAGCAAAGGTTGGCTAATTTTAATTGTAAATATAAGTAAAATATTGTCAATAAATATAACAATTGACCTGTAAACATTCCTTAACCAAAATCTAAAAGTTTTTCTTTTATGATAACGTAAGTAATGGTTAAATGCGTATGCTACATCCGGTAGAGCAACAAAAGACATGAATATGTGGAGAGCCATGATCACCCATGTCCTGAAAGAACTTGGTGCATAAAATAAGAATGATTTTAAAACCAAATTTATTTCTTACGTGCGAAAGTACAATGGAGTTAAATGTCTAATCCTACTGATCCGGGAATTATAACTAATGCAATCCCAAAATGCCTTGAAGCCGCCATTTTTGACCAAACGTGTAAACTCATATAAGCTGTAACAATAGTAACGTACTGGTTAAGAGACTCGTTTTTAGCGTAGATATAAGAAAACTTTTTTTTTTCTTTCCTTATTTATTCAAAAGCTATCGTCTTCAATCTTAACGTCAGAACCCTATAGAGTTTCTTTGATATATCAGAACTGCCAGCAGCATCTTTCTTGCGGTATGAGGCCATTATAACTAAAAATTGTGATTCCTTAATTTTTGCGGTTGACCGCGGGTGACTGAAATCGCAGAAAATTAAAATTATCACAATCGGCACGGCGATGAAACTACTTGTTTGTGATCGGTATGTATGTTTATAGGCACGTACCAAATTTATTCGTGCATAAAGTCGAATAAAATAACCCACGTCTTCAAATAAACTACATTTCATATATATATATATATATATATATATATATATATATATATATATATATATATATATATATATATAAAGGGTCTGTGCATAATTATCAGGCGTTTTTTTAAACAATATTTATTATGAAAAAAAAAAAACATAATTCAACAATGAGATTATTAAAAGATTATTCAGGAGTGTATGATTATCGACACGCATTTTTATAACCTGAAATTAAAATATTTTTTTATTAAAAAAAGTAAACAAAACAGTTGTTTTTATTAACAAATAACTTGCCTACAAAAAACGCCTGATAATTATGCACCAACACAATATATATATATATATATATATATATATATATATATATATATATATATATATATATATATATATATATATATATATATATATATATATATATATATATATATATATATATATATATATATATATTAGTGCAAGATATGTTTTAATATTGTATAGAAAATGCGGCACGCATGTGTTACAAAAAATCTCACGGTAAAATTGAACACGCGATATAATCTGTCAATGCTTTGATAGAATCGATCGATCGTTGGACACTTAAAATAAAGACCCCCCCATACACACACACAAAACGTGCACGCGCGTATATCTGTATTGTTTATATATTTTGCAGAGGAATAGTGCTCAATCGTTTGTAGACAGTGTGGACATAGGAATCAACATTTCATGATAACTGTCAGTGTCACAAATCTAGCGGTCTTCCGACCAGTTAGTAAGTAGCCGCTTCTACTTTTTTTTCTAGAACTGAGAACTAATCAGAAAAAATAAATTTATCCTCTTTGCGTCAATCCATGACAATGCAATTGAGTTTATCTGTATCATTTGTCCAAAATCACCATAAATCTGAAAAAATTCTTTATCCATTATTGTCCGAAACATTAGATTCTATATGATATATACTATATATGTCTTATATGCGGAAAACGCTATAAGTCTCATTTCTGAAAATAAGACAAAAGCAAAATAAATTTAGTAAAATCAAAATAAAATGTTGACTGGTGGATAATATACCTTAAAGAAAAGTTGCTCATCTTAAGAGAGGATCATGTAAAACTTCAAGAATCTTTAAAACATAATATCAGATTCAGCAGCCTCAATTTTAACTTTCGATTTCCCCACCTCACACACTCACATTTTATTATTATATTTTGTATGTATGTATGTATGCGCGTATATATATATATATATATATATATATATATATATATATATTCATTAAAGGAAAAAACAGACCGCTTTAAGGTTCCATCGTTATAACTTATTTCACCAGAGATTTTATTTTTCTCTGGATCATGAGACTTCATTTTCAAGGGTGAAAAATGAATTTAAAATTTACACTTTTGAAGAGCAGTATTAAGCTCATATAAGGTGGCATAGAGGGTGGTGAGGGACAGTGTGAGAGACATTGTCGAAATTAGAGAGGCGGGGTAAGAGTTTTAAAATTTAAATTCATTTTTTTCACTCTTGAAAGTGAAGTCTGAAGATCCAGAAAAAAATAATTTCTCTGCTGAAATAAATTATAACGATGGAACCTTAAATTGGTCTGTTTTTTTCCTTAAATTATTCGCTCTGACTTAACATTGAGTTCTCCGGATTTCATCCTCATTGGGATTATCCATTCGGATTACCAAGATTTTTTTATATATATATATATATATATATATATATATATATATATATATATATATAT